TGTCTCCATCCATCCTAAGATAACATATTCCTGAAACTTCTTAATGGACACTTCATTAGTCAAACTTACGATGAGGTGCCTGGTTCCGCACCTTATCGGCCTCTTGAAATGCCAGGCACCACATTCCTTTCCTAGATGCTGGCGTTTCTAATTTTGCAGCTTTTAAGAAGTCCAGTGAAATAGCCATGCATACATACATTTCTCTTATATATTTTCTAACTCCTATTTCCAATATGGTTAGATCAAATATATTTTCCAATATGTGTATTATGTATTTTCATCAAGCCTTCATCAAGATAAAGCGGGGTACAAACAACAACAACAACAACAACAACCCATGTGCATGGGGGTTATTATTATGTGCATGTGTGCTGTGTTGTTATGTAGATGTAAATAATAATAATAATAATAATAATAATAATAATAATAATAATAATAACCCATTGACGCTTGCTTCCCTTGCTCCCCAGGGCTGACCACTGAGACTCCCTCCGGCCATGGCCTTGGCGGTCCACCTGTTGTCCTGCCTGCTGGGCACTGGCTCCTGGGTGGCCATCAACGGTGTGTGGGTGGAGCTGCCACTGGTGGTGGCCGTGGCCCCTGAAGGTTGGCTCCTGCCCTCCTACCTGACAGTCATCATCCAACTGGCCAACCTGGGACCCCTGGTCTTCACCTTGGCCCACCGCTTCGTCCGGCTGGGAGAAGTCAGGGTCATCTACGGTGTGTTGGTGCTGGGCTGCCTGTCCTGCCTGCTTCTGGCCTTCTTCTGGAGCTCCACCAGCATTGTGGTCGGGGTCCCACGAAGCACGGCCCTCCTGGCCCTCCTCTTCTTCCTAGCTTTGGTGGACTGCACCTCTTCGGTCACCTTCCTGCCCTACATGCGTAGGCTCCGACCAGCGTATTTGACCACCTACTTCATTGGCGAAGGCATGAGCGGACTCTTGCCCGGTCTGGTGGCCTTGGGTCAAGGAGTGGGCACTCCTCAATGTCATGTCAATGGCAGCAACACCACTGGGGACTACCAAGCACCCCACTTCTCCATCCAGACCTTCTTTCTCTTCTTGACCACCATGATGGGCCTCTCGCTGGCCTCCTTCGTCCTCCTCAATCATCTTCCGGTGGCCAAAAGGGAGCGGGCGAAGGAGAAGGGCTACAGCAAGGAGGACAACGCCTTGGGAGTAAAGGTCAACACAGAAGATCATCCCATGGTCCAAGGATCCACACAATTCTGCTTCGGCTCCAGGACCTACTCCGGGCTGCAACTGGCCTACATCTTTGTCCTGCTGGCCTGGGTCAACGCCTTGACCAACGGGGTCCTCCCGGCCATCCAGTCCTACTCCTGCCTGCCTTACGGCCACACTGCCTACCACCTCTCGGCCACCTTGGCCGCCCTGGCCAACCCGCTGGCCTGCTTCCTGGGGAGGTTCCTGCCCAGCCGGTGAGTGGTCAGTGGCCAAAGCGGAGGGAACTTCACAACTGATATGGAATTTGTTGTTGTTGTTATTCATTCGTTCAGTCGTCTCCGACTCTTCGTGACCTCATGGACCAGCCCAAGCCAGAGCTCCCTGTTGGCCGTCACCACCCCCAGCTCCTTCAAGGTCAGTCCAGTCACTTCAAGGATGCCATCCATCCATCTTGCCCTTGGTCGGCCCCTCTTCCTTTTGCCTTCCACTTTCCCCAGCATAATTGTCTTCTCTAGGCTTTGCTGTCTCCTCATGATGTGGCCAAAGGACTTCAACTTTGTCTCTAGTCTCCTTCCCTCCAATGAGCAGTTGGGCTTTCTTTCCTGGAGGATGGACTGGTTGGATCTTCTCGCAGTCCAAGGCACTCTCAGCACTTTCCTCCAACACCACAGCTCAAAAGCATCTCTCTTCCTTGGCTCAGCCTTCCCGAAGGTCCAGCTCTCACATCCGTAGGTGACTACAGGGAATACCATGGCTTGGACTAGGCAATGGATCTTTGTTGCCAGTCTGATGTCTCTGCTCTTGACTATTTTATCGAGACTGGACATTGCTCTCCTCCCAAGAAGGAAGCGTCTCCTGATTTCCTGGCCACAGTCTGCGTCTGCAGTAATCTTTGCACCTAGAAATACAAAGTCTGTCACGGCCTCCACGTTTTCTCCCTCTATTTCCCAGTTGTCAATCATTCTTGTTGCCATAATCTTGGTTTTTTTGATGTTTAGCTGCAACCCGGCTTTTGCGCTTTCTTCTTTCACCTTGATTAGAAGGCTCCTCAGCTCCTCCTCGCTTTCGGCCATCAGAGTGGTGTCATCTGCATATCTGAGGTTGTTCATGTTTCTTCCAGCCATTTCCACCCCAGCTTGCATTCCTCAAGCCCCGCACATCCTCGCATGATGTGTTCTGCATACAAGTTAAAAAGGTTGGGTGAGAGGATGCAGCCTTGCCGGACGCCTTTCCCAATCTTGAACCAGTCTGTTGTTCCGTGGTCAGTTCTGACTGTTGCTCCTTGGTCCTTGTACAGATTCCTCAGGAGAGAGGGAAGGGGGCTTGGCATGCCCATCCCACCCAGAACTTGCCACAATTTATTATGATCCACACAGTCAAAGGCTTTAGAACAGTCAATGAAGCAGAAATAGATGTTTTTCTGAAACTCCCTGCCTTTCTCCATTCTCCAGCATCTGGATATTGGCAATCTGGTCTCTCATTCCTCTGCCTTTTCTAAACCCAGCTTGAGCATCTGGCAACTCTCGCTCCATGTCTTGCTGGAGTCTTCCTTGCAGGATCTTGAGCATTACCTTACTGGCATGAGAAATAAGGGCCACTGATCTGGAATTTAGACCACAATAAAATGAGAGGGAACGGCCTGGTGAGCATTTATGTCAACCAAAGTTCCAGATCAAAGACTCACCAGTGACTTGGGACAGAGATACAAAATATATAAAAGGATAAAAATTATAGAGAAAAAAAGTGGAGAAAGGAGAAGAGGAGAAGAAAGAGAAGAAGAGGTGGTGGAAGAGGAGGATGGTGGAGAAGGAGAGGAAGAGGAGAAGGAGAGGAGGAGTGCGAGGAAAGTGGAGAACATGCAAAGGAGAAAAGTAGGATGGAGGGAAAAGAAAGATGAGGAGGAAGAGGGAGGAGGAGAAAGTGAAGGTGTAGAAGAAGGAGAGGAGGAGTGCGAGGAAAGTGGAGAACATGCAAAGGAGAAAAGTAGGAGGGAGGGAAAAGAAAGATGAGGAGGAAGAGGGAGGAGAAGAAAGTGAAGGTGTAGAAGAACGAGAGGAGGAGTGCGAGGAAAGTGGAGAACATTCAAAGGTGAAGAGTAGGAGGGAGGGAAAAGAAAGATGAGGAAGGAGAAGAAGAGGAGGAAGAGGGAGGTGAAGAAAAGAAGGTGTAGAAGAAGGAGAGGAGGAGTGTGAGGAAAGTGAAGAACATGCAAAGGAGAGAGGAAGGGAAAAGAAACATGAGGAAGGAGAAGAAGAGGAGGAAGAGGGAGGTGGAGAAAGTGAAGGTGTAGAAGAAGGAGAGGAGGATGGAGAGGAAGGTGAAGGAGATGCAAAGAAAAGGATGAGAGAGGAAGAGAAAGAACAGATGAGGCAGGAAGAAAAAGGAAGAGGAGGAAGGAGAAGAGGAGGAGGCAGGAGAAGGGAATGGAAGAGAAGGAAGAAAAAGAAATAAGGGGAAGGAGAAGGAGCACAAACAAGTAAGAGAGTTGGAAATTTAGACTCCGAAAGGTCAGAGTAGATTTTTAAAGAGTCAAGTAAAAGATTGATGAGCAATGTTGCTTGCATACGGGTATCTAGCACATTTGGGTGCGGGGCGGATGCCTGCACCATCCCATAGATTTGAGGGCACCTTCCTGAGCCAGTAGGTCATAAATATGATATAAATCACAAATTTTGTATTTTGTCTAAATATGATATATGGTTTGAATGGAATTGTATGAAAAGTGAATGCCTGGGGTCTACATCACCTAGAGATGCCATCCTAAGATTGAAGCCTGGAAAACTACAAGAAGGAGGTGAAGAAGTCATGAACTGTAATTAAAAATTGTTGAACCGCTGACATTGACAATCAGAGTGATGAACTCAGTGGTGGAAAACAACATGTTTACATTACCAGAGACAATGAATCATAGAATCAATTACTCTTAAGTTAAATTAAGGAAGCAAGCACGATGGTCCTTAAGAAGGAAAGCCAATTATCACTTAAAGAAGGAAAGTCAACATCTGTCTTGGCAGTGATGGAGTCATAATGTTTTACCTGGGAAACACCTGTCATTCGTTTATAACTTTTGGAACAACATCAGTAGAAACCATAGGATAATAGAGTTGGAAGAGACCACACAGGCCATCCAGTCCAATCCCCTGCTGGGTAGGAATATTCAGGGGCGGCTCGTCCATTACGCGAAGTAAGCGGTCGCAGAACACTTTTTTTTCCAGGGGTGCAGAGGCGCCTCTGTAAATGCCCCTCGACCGCCACTTGAGGAGCGCCCCCTCAGCTCACAACAGCCCTAGCAGTCCGGGGGGAGCCTCGGCTTTCTTGCCTCGCTGCCGGGCGATCCTCTTCCCAAAGGGGCCGGCCCTTGAGCCTCGCCTAGCCCCTCTCGTTCCTGCTCCACCTGGCCACCGGGTGCGCGAGCAGAGCCGGCGCTCAATCGTTCTCCGCGTTCGATCCCTTCCCCATGACCGGCTCCCTTTCCCGATCCCCCGGCGCTCCACCCGCCTCCTCTCCTCTCCCCAATCCGTGGGTGGGCCAAGGGGCGGAGCCGCCACGCCTGGCCCACTTCGGGTCCGGAGGCGTGTCTGAAGACCCCAGCGTGCGCACCAAAAGTCGCCTCTTCTCCTGACTTTCTCTTCAGCCATTGGGACCAAGAGAGAGAGAGAGAGAGAGAGACCCTCCGGCTGGAGGTATCTCCCACCTCCGCTCCCTCCTTTGTTTTTGCGCCTACCTTCAGGAAAGGTGGGCATCTCCACCTCTGTCTCTCTCTCTCTCTCTCTCTTGGTCCCAATGGCTGAGGAGAAAGTCAGGAGAAGAGGTGACTTTTGGTGCACACGCCGGGGTCTTCAGGCACGCCTCCGGACCCAAAGCGGGCCAGGCAAGGGAGCAAATGCGGCAAGTGTAGTTACTGGGATGTATAGTTCACCTACAATCAAAGAGCATTCTGAACTCCACCAATGATGGAATTGAACCAAATATGGCACACAGAACTCCCACGACAAACAGAAAATATATATATCAATGATTGGTTGGGGGGGGGGCGCGCCAAAATACTGTTTGCTTACCGTTGAAAATTACCTAGGGCCGCCTCTGGGAATATTGCTATATAATTGCTATATAAGAGACCTTTTACTATTCCAAAATTGTGGAAGACAAGAGGAGTCTGGCCCACACGCCGCTCTTTTTTCAAGGGACGGAGGAAGGAGATGTATCTGCACAATGGCAGATTTGCTGGGAATGCAATCTGGCCTACTTTGGGTCTCTTTTTGGAGAAGGAATAAGAGATGGCAATATATGAATGTGCATATATATATGAATGCTGAGTCAAATGTAATTCCCCTTTGTTTGTGTACCCAATGTAGTTATATTGTCTGTATGTGTCTACCTTCTTTCCCCGTGTTGTTCTGTGGTATGCTCTGTCTCAATGTGAACGAAATAAAAGAAACTTTCAAATGATTTTTGGAGTTTAAAATGTCTTCATGGCATTCCCATCCCCTTTCTCTTCTTTCCTCTTACAGGTCGCTGGTGGTCCTGGGTGTCCTCTCCTCAGCCGGCTCTTTAGTGGCCTCCTACATCATGGCCATGGCTGTCTTCAGCCCCTGCCCTCCACTGCTGTCATCATCCCTCGGGGTCATCCTCATTGTGAGTAGCCACGGGTTTGAATCCATCCTTAGGATCCAGTCTGAACCTCCAAGGGTGCAGTCAGACACCACTTTCACTGCAGTGGCTCAATACAATGGTGCAGGCATGGGCCAAGTTCAGCCCTCCAGGTGTTTTGGACTTCAACTCCCACAATTCCCTTCCCCATTTTAAAAAAAATTGTCTCTAATCTCAGGAATTCAACTTACAGCCTGAAAAACTCACAACAACATAAAGAGGGGTTATTCTTACATTGCAGAATTGAAAACAGGAGATAGGGGGGAAATAGATATTTAGCTCTCTTATATATCTCTTTCTGCTAGCCTTTTGATAGGCAAAACAAAAGCCTGGCAGCACAGCAGAAGTTTCAGAGAGGAGGGCCAAACTTGGCCCATGCCTGCTATAGAGATTTGGGTTTCACACAAATCTACCATTTGCTGTAGAGGGATGGTCTAAATCCATCTACGGAGGTTGAGAAGATCGGGATAATTTTAAAAATAAATAAATAATATAATATAATATATGATTCTGTGCTTTTCTTTTCTATTTTTGGCTGAATAGTACATGAAATACTATTATTACTACTACTACTACTACTAATAATAATAATAATAATAATAATAATAATAATAATAATAATATACTCTGAGATGCTTTGAGTCTTTTATGAGAAATGGGTAGCAATAATAGCAATAACAACAACAACCTGAACTGCTTTGAGTCTTGTTTGAGAGGAAAGTTGACTACAAAAACATAATTATTTTATTTTAACTTTGAATATGTTTTAATGGTTTTAGCCACCCATGGGGAGGTGGGGTGGGATATAAAAAAATATAGTAGTAGTAGTAGTAGTAGTAGTAATATCTCATCAATACTGTTTATATTTAATCCTGTTTTAATATTTGTATTTTTTGATCATATACTGATGCTTTTATGTTAAGCCACTTTGAGTCTCCTTCAGGAGGGATAAAGTGGGGTATAAATAAATATAGTAGTAGTAGTAGTAGTAGTAGTAATATCTCATCAATACTGTTTATATTTAATCCTGTTTTAATATTTGTATTTTTTGATCATGTACTGATGCTTTTATGTTAAGCCACTTTGAGTCTCCTTCGGGAGAGATAAAGTGGGGTATAAATAAATGTAGTAGTAGTAGTAGTAGTAATATCTCATAAATACTGTTTATATTTAATCCTGTTTTAATATTTGTATTTTTTGATCATATACTGATGCTTTTATGTTAAGCCACTTTGACTCTCCTTCAGTTGGGATAAAGTGGGGTATAAATAAATATAGTAGTAGTAGTAGTAGTAGTAGTCTTTTAAATACTGTTTATATTTAATCCTGTTTTAATATTTGTATTTTTTGATCATATACTGATGCTTTTATGTTAAGCCACTTTGAGTCTCCTTCGGGAGAGATAAAGTGGGGTATAAATAAATGTAGTAGTAGTAGTAGTAGTAATATCTCATAAATACTGTTTATATTTAATCCTGTTTTAATATTTGTATTTTTTGATCATATACTGATGCTTTTATGTTAAGCCACTTTGACTCTCCTTCAGTTGGGATAAAGTGGGGTATAAATAAATATAGTAGTAGTAGTAGTAGTAGTAGTAATATATCTTAAATACTGTTTATATTTAATCCTGTTTTAATATTTGTATTTTTTGATCATATACTGATGCTTTTATGTTAAGCCACTTTGAGTCTCCTTCGGGAGAGATAAAGTGGGGTATAAATAAATGTAGTAGTAGTAGTAGTAGTAATATCTCATAAATACTGTTTATATTTAATCCTGTTTTAATATTTGTATTTTTTGATCATATACTGATGCTTTTATGTTAAGCCACTTTGACTCTCCTTCAGTTGGGATAAAGTGGGGTATAAATAAATATAGTAGTAGTAGTAGTAGTAGTAGTAGTAGTAATATCTCATAAATACTGTTTATATTTAATCCTGTTTTAATATTTGTATTTTTTTGATCATATACTGATGCTTTTATGTTAAGCCACTTTGAGTCTCCTTCAGGAGAGATAAAGTGGGGTATAAATAAATATAGTAGTAGTAGTAGTAGTAGTAGTAATATCTCATCAATACTGTTTATATTTAATCCTGTTTTAATATTTGTATTTTTTGATCATATACTGATGCTTTTATGTTAAGCCACTTTGAGTCTCCTTCAGGAGGGATAAAGTGGGGTATAAATAAATATAGTAGTAGTAGTAGTAGTAGTAGTAATATCTCATCAATACTGTTTATATTTAATCCTGTTTTAATATTTGTATTTTTTGATCATATACTGATGCTTTTATGTTAAGCCACTTTGAGTCTCCTTCAGGAGAGATAAAGTGGGGTATAAATAAATATAGTAGTAGTAGTAGTAGTAGTAGTAATATCTCATCAATACTGTTTATATTTAATCCTGTTTTAATATTTGTATTTTTTGATCATATACTGATGCTTTTATGTTAAGCCACTTTGAGTCTCCTTCAGGAGAGATAAAGTGGGGTATAAATAAATATAGTAGTAGTAGTAGTAGTAGTAGTAATATCTCATCAATACTGTTTATATTTAATCCTGTTTTAATATTTGTATTTTTTGATCATATACTGATGCTTTTATGTTAAGCCACTTTGAGTCTCCTTCAGGAGAGATAAAGTGGGGTATAAATAAATATAGTAGTAGTAGTAGTAGTAGTAGTAATATCTCATCAATACTGTTTATATTTAATCCTGTTTTAATATTTGTATTTTTTGATCATGTACTGATGCTTTTATGTTAAGCCACTTTGAGTCTCCTTCGGGAGAGATAAAGTGGGGTATAAATAAATGTAGTAGTAGTAGTAGTAGTAATATCTCATAAATACTGTTTATATTTAATCCTGTTTTAATATTTGTATTTTTTGATCATATACTGATGCTTTTATGTTAAGCCACTTTGACTCTCCTTCAGTTGGGATAAAGTGGGGTATAAATAAATATAGTAGTAGTAGTAGTAGTAGTAATATCTCATAAATACTGTTTATATTTAATCCTGTTTTAATATTTGTATTTTTTTGATCATATACTGATGCTTTTATGTTAAGCCACTTTGAGTCTCCTTCAGGAGAGATAAAGTGGGGTATAAATAAATATAGTAGTAGTAGTAGTAGTAGTAGTAATATCTCATCAATACTGTTTATATTTAATCCTGTTTTAATATTTGTATTTTTTTGATCATATACTGATGCTTTTATGTTAAGCCACTTTGACTCTCCTTCAGTTGGGATAAAGTGGGGTATAAATAAATATAGTAGTAGTAGTAGTAGTAGTAGTAGTAATATCTCATCAATACTGTTTATATTTAATCCTGTTTTAATATTTGTATTTTTTGATCATATACTGATGCTTTTATGTTAAGCCACTTTGAGTCTCCTTCAGGAGAGATAAAGTGGGGTATAAATAAATATAGTAGTAGTAGTAGTAGTAGTAGTAGTAATATCTCATCAATACTGTTTATATTTAATCCTGTTTTAATATTTGTATTTTTTGATCATGTACTGATGCTTTTATGTTAAGCCACTTTGAGTCTCCTTCGGGAGAGATAAAGTGGGGTATAAATAAATGTAGTAGTAGTAGTAGTAGTAATATCTCATAAATACTGTTTATATTTAATCCTGTTTTAATATTTGTATTTTTTGATCATATACTGATGCTTTTATGTTAAGCCACTTTGACTCTCCTTCAGTTGGGATAAAGTGGGGTATAAATAAATTTAGTAGTAGTAGTAGTAGTAGTAGTAGTAATATCTCATCAATACTGTTTATATTTAATCCTGTTTTAATATTTGTATTTTTTGATCATATACTGATGCTTTTATGTTAAGCCACTTTGACTCTCCTTCAGTTGGGATAAAGTGGGGTATAAATAAATATAGTAGTAGTAGTAGTAGTAGTAGTAATATATCTTAAATACTGTTTATATTTAATCCTGTTTTAATATTTGTATTTTTTGATCATATACTGATGCTTTTATGTTAAGCCACTTTGAGTCTCCTTCAGGAGAGATAAAGTGGGGTATAAATAAATATAGTAGTAGTAGTAGTAGTAGTAATATCTCATCAATACTGTTTATATTTAATCCTGTTTTAATATTTGTATTTTTTGATCATATACTGATGCTTTTATGTTAAGCCACTTTGAGTCTCCTTCAGGAGGGATAAAGTGGGGTATAAATAAATATAGTAGTAGTAGTAGTAGTAGTAGTAGTAATATCTCATCAATACTGTTTATATTTAATCCTGTTTTAATATTTGTATTTTTTGATCATATACTGATGCTTTTATGTTAAGCCACTTTGAGTCTCCTTCAGGAGAGATAAAGTGGGGTATAAATAAATATAGTAGTAGTAGTAGTAGTAGTAGTAATATCTCATCAATACTGTTTATATTTAATCCTGTTTTAATATTTGTATTTTTTGATCATATACTGATGCTTTTATGTTAAGCCACTTTGAGTCTCCTTCAGGAGGGATAAAGTGGGGTATAAATAAATATAGTAGTAGTAGTAGTAGTAGTAATATCTCATCAATACTGTTTATATTTAATCCTGTTTTAATATTTGTATTTTTTGATCATATACTGATGCTTTTATGTTAAGCCACTTTGAGTCTCCTTCAGGAGAGATAAAGTGGGGTATAAATAAATATAGTAGTAGTAGTAGTAGTAGTAGTAATATCTCATCAATACTGTTTATATTTAATCCTGTTTTAATATTTGTATTTTTTGATCATATACTGATGCTTTTATGTTAAGCCACTTTGAGTCTCCTTCAGGAGGGATAAAGTGGGGTATAAATAAATATAGTAGTAGTAGTAGTAGTAGTAGTAATATCTCATCAATACTGTTTATATTTAATCCTGTTTTAATATTTGTATTTTTTGATCATATACTGATGCTTTTATGTTAAGCCACTTTGAGTCTCCTTCAGGAGAGATAAAGTGGGGTATAAATAAATATAGTAGTAGTAGTAGTAGTAGTAGTAATATCTCATCAATACTGTTTATATTTAATCCTGTTTTAATATTTGTATTTTTTGATCATATACTGATGCTTTTATGTTAAGCCACTTTGAGTCTCCTTCAGGAGGGATAAAGTGGGGTATAAATAAATATAGTAGTAGTAGTAGTAGTAGTAGTAATATCTCATCAATACTGTTTATATTTAATCCTGTTTTAATATTTGTATTTTTTTGATCATATACTGATGCTTTTATGTTAAGCCACTTTGACTCTCCTTCAGGAGAGAGAATGTGGGGTATAAATAAATATAGTAGTAGTAGTAGTAGTAATATCTCATCAATACTGTTTATATTTAATCCTGTTTTAATATTTGTATTTTTTTGATCATATACTGATGCTTTTATGTTAAGCCACTTTGACTCTCCTTCAGGAGAGAGAATGTGGGGTATAAATAAATATAGTAGTAGTAGTAGTAGTAATATCTCATCAATACTGTTTATATTTAATCCTGTTTTAATATTTGTATTTTTTTGATCATATACTGATGCTTTTATGTTAAGCCACTTTGAGTCTCCTTCAGGAGAGATAAAGTGGGGTATAAATAAATATAGTAGTAGTAGTAGTAACTCATTTGCTGTGACATACTGTGTTTTGTGTCAGCAAATAATAATAAATACACCATATTACTACACAGCACTACATTGCACTGCTTTTGCACAACTATTTTTGCACCAACCGAAGCAACCTAGTGGGGTGTCCATTTGCAGGAGAGGGTGCATAGAGGCTTTCCCCCTGAATGCAGCCTTTATGGGACATCTGTGGGTCTCTCTTTGTGCCTTCTATTTGACTGATGCGCTGTTTTTGCCCCATTTCCATTGCAGGTGGTGTGCTGGGTGCTCTTTGTGGGTCTGCTCTCCTACGTGAAGCTGATGATCGGGATCATCCTGCGGGACGAGGGGCACAGCGCCCTGGTCTGGTGTGGGGCCGTGGTGCAGCTGGGCTCCATGTTGGGGGCCCTGGCCATGTTCCCACTGGTCAGCGTCTATGGATTCTTCCAAGCTGGACAGCCCTGCGGACACAGTTGCACCGGGTAGAATTGGAAGGGGCCTCCAAGGCCATCTAGTCCAGTCCCCAGTCTGCTGTCCAGGGAGACATTGTCCAAGCCCTTCTGACAAGTGGCCATCCAGCTTCTGCTTAAAGACCCCCAAAGATAGAAACCAGCCTAGAGTTGGAAGGGGCACCCAAAGGTCATCTAGTCCAACCCCTTTCTACCAAGCAGGAAGACACCATTCAAGCCCTCTCTGACAGATGGCAATCCAGTCTCTACTTAACGCCAAAGATGGAATTTTAATATCATAATGTTGAAAGGGGCACCCAAGGGCCATCTAGTCCAGCCCCAGTCTGCTACCCAGGAAGACACCACGCAAGCCCTTCTGACAAATGGCTATTCAGCATCTATTTAAAGGCCTCCAAAGAGGAAATTTTAATATTCTAGCATTGGAAGTGACACCCAAAGGCCATCTAGAATCATAGAATCAAAGAGTTGGAAGAGACCTCATGGGCCATCCAGTCCATCCCCATTCTGCCAAGAAGCAGGAATATTGCATTCAAATCACCCCTGACAGATGGCCATCCAGCCTCTGTTTAAAAGCTTCCAAAGAAGGAGCCTCCACCACACTCCGGGCAGAGAGTTCCACTGCTGAACGGCTCTCACAGTCAGGAAGTTCTTCCTCAAGTTCAGATGGAATCTCCTCTCTTGTAGTTTGAAGCCATTGTTTCGTCCTAGTCTCCAGGGAAGCAGAAAACAAGCTTGCTCCCTCCTCCCTGTGGCTTCCTCTCACATATTTATACATGGCTATCATATCTCCTCTCAGCCTTCTCTTCTTCAGGCTAAACATGCCCACCTCCTTAAGCCGCTCCTCATAGGGCTTGTTCTCCAGACCCTTGACCCGTTGAGTCGCCCTCCTCTGGACACATTCCAGCTTGTCAATATCTCTCTTGAATTGTGGTGCCCAGAATTGGACACAATATTCCAGATGTGGTCTAACCAAAGCAGAATAGAGCATGGGGAGCAGGACTTCCCTAGGTCTAGACACTATGCTCCTATTGATGCAGGCCAAAGTCCAATTGGCTTTTTTTTGCCGCCACATCGCATTATTGGCTCATGTTTAACTTGTTGTCCACGAGGACCAGGGGTGGCTCAACCCATTTCGCAAAGTAAGCATTTGCAGTATAGTTGATTTTGCCCAGGGGCGCTCTTGAGGTGCTCTTGGGGGAAAATAGACCTTGGCATATGCGAGTTGTAGTTACTGGGATGTATAGTTGACCTACAATCAAAGAGCATTCTGAACTCCACCAATGATGGAATTGAACCAAATATGGCACACAGAACTCCCACGATGAACAGAAAATATATATCAGTGATTGGTTGGGGGGGGGGCAAAATACTGTTTGCTTACCGTTGAAAATTACCTAGGGCCGCCTCTGACGAGGACTCCAAGATCTTTTTCACACGTACTGCTCTCAAGCCAGTTATAGTCCTCCATTCTGTATCTTTGTATTTCGTTTTTTTCTGCCTAAGTGGAGTATCTTGCATTTGTCACTGTTGAACTTCATTTTGTTAGTTTTGGCCTGTCGTCTCTCTAATCTGTCAAGATCGTTTTGGCTATAAATCCTCTATTTAAAGACCTCCGTAGATGGAATTCTAATATCCTAGAGTTGGAAGGGGCGCCCAAAGGCCATCTAGTCCAGCCTCCTTCTGCCAGGCAGGGGGAGACCCTCCAATCTTCTCTCCTGGAAGACACTATCCAAGCCCTTTTGACAAATGGCTATCCAGCCTTTATTTAAAGGCCTCCAAAGATGGAGTTCTCATATCCTAGAGTTGGAAGGGGCACCCAAAGACCATCCAGTCCATCCCCAATCTGCTCGCCAAGCCCTTCTGACAAATGGCTATCCAGCCTCTATTTAAAAACCTCCATAAATAGAATTTTAATATCCTAGAATTAGAAGGGGCACCTAAAGGCCATCTAGGCAAAACTACAGTGAGGTGGATCTGTAATTGGTTAAATGGACGAACCCAGAGGGTGCTCACCAATGCTTCCTCTTCATCCTGGAAAGAAGCGACAAGTGGAGTGCCATCCGCAGGGTTCCGTCCTGGGCCCGGTCCTGCTCAGGATCTTCATTAATGACTTAGATGAAGGGCTAGAAGGCAGGATCATCAAGTTTGCAGACGGGACGAGATTGGGAGGGATAGCCAAGACTCCAGAGGACAGGAGCAGGATTCAAAGAGATCTTGACAGATTAGAGAGATGAATGGCCAAAACTAACAAAATGAAGTTCAACAGGGACAAATGCAAGATA